TATTGTCTATATATATATATATTAATATACTTAATTACTCTTATTTTACTCTTGTTTTAAAAAGCTAATTACAATATATATTCAATTAAAAGGTTTATAATTAAATATGCAGTGAGTAATTTAGACATAAATATAAAATTTTAATATTAATTAATTATTATATCTCATTTTATTGGATAAAAAATTTACGCTTATTAAAGTTGAACTAACAAAGTAAATAAAGTAAATAGTAATAGAAAATTTTAGAGAAATTAAAATTGTTCATTTACGAAGTTAACCTCACAATGAGGTCGTGGGTCCAAGAGCACTTGTCTGAAACTCAAAGTCTGTACCTAAATCAATTTGGTGTGAGCAAAATAAAGTAAATTTCAGATATTGCTGGATAAGAAAATGTTAAAAGTGGTGCTTTCTTAAAGTTACTTTATAAAGTTTAATATTAACTTGAAAAAAAAAAAAAAAATTCGAGCTTTGTGAGACTCTACTTAAGTCTCCACTAGTGGAAATTAATTAGTGCATGCAGTAATGTAACGCCCAATATATGCTGTACATTATATACCATTAATTTTTTTATAGGAATGTTATAGACATTAGTTAGTCTATAGTTTTGGTATATTCGAAATCTAATTGGCACTTTCTTCTTGGGGCTTGCTTAATGTGTTCGCTAATCAACCCTATCCAAGACTTTGCCAATCAACTCTATCGAAGCTAGTGGTGGGCTTTATATATCCATCTCCCCCCCTCCCCCCCTTTTTTTAATAAATAACTGTCCTGATTTTTCTAAAAATCTTAAATACTAATATTAATATAAATAATTTTTAAGATTGTGTAACAAAATAAGTTTTGTAAATGTATTAAGTTGATGTAGAGATACATTTTTAAATTTTTTTAAAGGAGGATTAGCGTTGAGGTAAGTAAAAATTGATCTGTAAACACCCTAAAAAAAAAAAAGGAGAGAGAAAAGGTTTTTGGGATAAAATGAATTTAAGTATATCTGTGAGGGGAGAAATGAGAAACCCTATTTTATTTAGAATATAAAAGAATGGGTGTTGATATAGGGATTATTTTTTTGTATTATTTTTTTATAATTTTTACATATTATTAAATAAATAGATACATTTGATATTATTAATCTCAAATAAATAGCAATAACAAATTATTTAAATGATAGGTAAAGTTGTATAAAAAATTATATAAAAAAATTATCTATAAATCATTTTCCTTTAAAAAATTAGGAGAGGGAAGCATTCAACATCCATTCAAATTTTTTTAATTAAATTACCATTTCCTTTGTCAATTTTAAGCTATCCATCAAAGGTGTGTATATGGCCAACATATAGACGTAGATAGATTAGAATTTAAGTGTTTATCAATTAAGTTTTGAAAACACTAAAAGAATTTTAAAATTATATCATTTTAATAATTTTTTATTTAAAAAATTAAAATCATATATTTTTAAATAAAAATAAAAATATTTTGATAAATCTCACTTTTATTTTAAAAATATATTATTTAAATTTTTTAATAAAAATTTATTAAAATAATATAATTTTAAAATATTTTTCTTCTTAATTTTTAAAAACTTGCATATAAACACTATTCACGCTTTGTAGATACACATATAAAGTCCGTGTAATATTTTTACTTTTTTTTTTTACCCTCATAGACCATATTCGCATTTCCTTCTCCTCTAAGTCTAAGACCACAACATCGCTCTTCCCACACCCAAAGCATACCCAACTCAGTACTCACGGATGGCGATTGGTAGTTGGTACTGACCCCAAAATTTTCAGTTTTTTTTTTTTTTTTATGGGGGGACAAAATTTCGGATTCATGGTCATTACCATCATCAGATGATCGAACATGTCTAGGGCCCATGGGCCGTATCTTGAACTGGAAAAAATCATTGGACTCAACTTCTTTTTACCTCAATTGGAATTGGGCTATCCTCCTTATCTCCACTCCACTCTCCAACTAAGGTTCCTTATCAAATGGGATACCAATCCAGCAATTCCTAAACCATCTACACCAACCCCACGTTAAGCCCATACGAAATAAAATTTTTGCCTGTTTTAGTATTTTTGGTTATTTGCCAAAATTAAAAAAAAAAAAACATTTTATTGTTTAAATTATAAATATTAATTATTAAATTAAAAGGAATTTCTAATAATAGGCAGCATCCTAACCGTTATAGTGATTAAAACAATGACATTAATAAATTTAGCTTGTATTTAAAAATATGTATTTATATTTAAAGATTGTATTTTAAATATAAGTATTTAAAAAATATATATTTTAAATGTATGTATTTTAAAATATATTATTTAAATTAAGCTAAATTTAAATATATTATATTTAAAAAAATTAACAATATATTTAAATTTAAAATTTTCTTTAAATATATTGTAACCAAATTTAGGTTACATTCATACCATTAATGATGATAATAATAACTTCGAGCAATCCGAACATCTAATAGTTGCAATTTTGTACTTTGACGTGGTTTGCGAATATTTTTTTCCACATTTTATTGCAGCGAAATTTTCGAAACTGACTTATAATTTTCAAATTAAAATCAAAATTTTCTTCTGTATTGTCGTTCAAGAAAAAGGGTTTATATAAACCCTGTTGTCTTGACCGCTCCCCAAAGCTGACAGAGTCTCGAGAACCAAAATCCTCCTCCTCCTCCTCCTCCTCCTCCTTCCGGCGACGATGAACAAGGGACCTGGACTCTTCTCCGATTTCGGCAAGAAAGCCAAAGGTAAATCCCGTTTCTCAACTTTGCGCTCTTCTGGGTACCATCTGCTGCTGTCAGGATTCCTTAACTCTGCTTTCAATTGCAGATTTGCTCATCAAAGACTACACCACCGACCAGAAGTTCACCATCTCCAGTAGCAGTTACAGTGGAGTGGTACGCACTCGGTTAAATGTTTTTCAGCGTCTTGATATGATTTTGGTTTTGGTTTATTCATGTTGCATTGTGATCTTTCTTACAAGTTCCTGAAGCTACTTTCATTATTTGTGTAATGTAATTTATATTGGGTTTATATTTTGCTTGATTTTATTTTATGAGATCTGTAAGTTCTTTTAGGATTGTAAGTTTTTTTATTCATGTTGAAGTTCTGGGTCGATTGTGGCTTCTGTGTCACATATGCTCGGTTATTGGGTATAGGCCCTCAGCCTCACGCTTGGGAGATGGAGGCTTGTTCAATTGCGTAAATTTGATTTTGAGATGCTGTTGTTCACTTCAAACCATTATTTTGCTGGTTGCTAGGTTCCAATTTAAAGTACCGTCATTTCTAGTTTGCTGCCCTGTTTATTGCAATCAAAGAAATTTTCTTTATATATATAGCTTTGAATTTTCTTTCATTTTGATCTTTGGGAATGTGCTTCTCTGTTATAGGCACCTGAAGATATGAACAGCTTGAGTGTTATCCTTGAATATCATCTAATCTTAGTCCAACTAAATTGTTTTGAAATGTATAGCTAGTTAATTTCTTGAAAGGCTGGGGATGTTTATTTTGAAAAGATGAGGGATTATGGATATCTAGATATCATGCAATGATTATAACCTTAAATATGTTGAGTAGAAGAAAGGTTTGTTACTTTGCGTAGGTTGCTCTTTATTCCTTTCGAATCCTTGAACCATTTAATTGTTAATTTCTTTCATTCATTTGACGCTTTTCTACTTTTTTGTTGATTTGCAATAATTTGGATGTCAAATTGTATGAGTGAGGTCAGTGATTTTGCGATCTCCATGCCTTTGTGATTTGTACTATCTGGCCTCCTGTCCCAGGAAGAGGCTTGAGCTTGCTTGATGTCTTGAGTCTTGCATAGCTGAGCTTCCTTTGGACCTATTATTTTCATCTGCTGCATTGTGCTTTTCTATACTGCTGAGGAATGAAACTAACACTTCTTCATCCTCAGGCGCTTGTTTCCAATGTTGTGGAGAAGGGAGGTCTATCCTCTGGAGATGTGGCAGCACAATACAAACAGAAGAATGCAACATTTGATGTCAAGCTTGACACTGAGTCAAATGTTGTTCCTGATCTTATATAGTTATTTAAATCTAAAACGTAATTTAACCTGTTGCTAATGTTGCTATTTGTTGACCAGATTATGACAACCTTAACTGTTACGGATGTACTGCCTTCTTCAAAAGCAATTGCTTCAATTAAGTTGCCTGATTACAACTCTGGAAAGGTACCGAATAGCTAAGTGTATTCATATAAGTTGGCATGAACCTGTATTACAGAATGAACACTTGAAGATTTTATGGATTTGCATTCTTTGTTATGCAGTTAGAGGTTCAGTATTTTCATGAGCATGCCACTTTCACTACAGCTGTTGGGCTGAAGATATTGCCCGCTGTTGACTTTTCAGCAACCATTGGTACTCCAGCCATTGCTTTTGGAGTGGAGGCAAGTTACCTAACAGCTTCAGGTGAATTTTCAAAGTATAATGCTGGAGTGAGTGTGACAAATCCAGACCGCAATGTTTCAGCTATCCTGTAAGCTCTCCTGTTTAAAGTTAATAGTCTTTTTTTTTTTTATCAACGGTCCTCTTCACATGCAACTAAGTGGAAAGTAGAATAGAAATGCAAGCGTTATTGAGCACTTTAAAGTGATCCCAAATTCCCATTAATACCTTTATTTTTCAATTCTCAACATCAAATGAATTTAGGATAAAGTTTTACTTTTGTTTCTTTTTATATGTCCTTTTTTTTTTTTTCAACAAGTTAATGCTGACTAGTCATCTTTTTCTTTTCTTGTAGGGCTGACAAGGGAGACTCCCTAAGGGTCTCATACTTGCACCATGTAGATCATCTGAATAGGGGAGCAGTGGTGGGAGAGATTGCACGGAAGTTCTCCACAAATGAAAACACATTAACGGTGGGATGTTCATACATTGTTGACCCTCACACATTGGTGAAGGCAAAGCTCAACAACCATGGCAATCTTGGTACCCTCATACAGCATGAGCTTAGACCAAAGTCCTACCTCACAATTTCTGGTGCCTTTGACACCAAGGCCTTGGAGAAGACTCCCAAGTTTGGATTGACACTCTCTCTAAAGCCCTAAATAGGCATACTGACCTCATTACAGAAACATGCAACTGATTCAATTGACGAAACTCATTCTCTCACCGCAGTACCACATGGGCATTTTGTCAGTGATTGTAATCGGATTGTTAGTACATTTCTGCTTCAGATAGTGTCCTCTAAGTCTCTTTTATTTTGTTAAATAAACTTATAATTACCTTTTATATTACCTACAGCCTCAATAATTTCCAAGGTGGCATTGCATATGATATTTTTGTTCATTTATTTATCCCCTCTAATCTAATCACTGGTATAAGTAACCCCACAAACAAACTTTAGAATTTATTTGCGATGTTTGGTGAAAATGGACAACTGACTTGTTCGTTCAATTAACCAAAAACAAAACTACTCCCTAAACTTGTGCTAATTTGGTGAGATGAGCCACCAACTTTTCTTTTACTTGAACATGTGATGTACGGTTTCTATTAATCTTTCTTGATTTTGTCTAATGTTTCCTAGACTCTAGTAGTCACTCATAAGTATGGCTGTAAACAACCTATCATGGAAAGATAGAAAATAATGACATTCACTTATGTTATGATAATTTGAAACCATTGGTGCTTGAATGCCAATATTTCCTGCAGGTCGCCCCACGAGCAAAATCGCCCACCTCCGTCCACTTTCGTTTTGTTTTGTTGTTACCTGCTGAGCTCGTGTTGTTTGATCTTTTGTGTCAAGTCTAGAGTCTTAGACGCCTCATTAGAAGGTTCCTTCCAATAATTTTGTAAGAATAGGTCAGCGGAAGCTGAAAGGCAAAACGGAGAGAAGCAGATGATTAAGCTGTGTTATGCTGCCTGATTCAGACGGCATCTGACTTTCGATGTAGGGAAATAGACTGCTCTTTATTCTGTTTGGAGTTTGAGCTTTCCACATCTAATGCAATAAAGCTTACGTTGTTATTGATATTGATGTTGTTGTTTTTTTAATCTTTTCCTCAAAGTTTATGTTGTTGTTTCCACGGTCAAATCCCATGTTTAAATGATTAGTCAACCACAGAAGGTTTTTTTTTTTTTAAATTAGGGCAAATGATTGAGGAAAAGAGATGAGAAAGAAAATCTAACATTGTCTTTTTTTTTTTGTTTCCCGTTCGGTATCCAAAACTTCACCTCGATTAATCTGGATTAAGTCGCGTCGCGCACTTAGAAATGGTGGGTGAGTCTCCCAATGGAAGCTGCTTCATTCACAAGGTTTCGAACTCGAGACCTTACTTAAGCTGGAACAAATCGCTTACCACTTGATCCAACATCTCGTTGGTAACATTGTCATGATAAAAAAAATTTACATTAAATTAAATTACTGAACCACTAGTCCAACATAGTAAAAAAAAGCCTACGTTAAGCTGCTTGACTACTAGTCCGGTAGGCTTTCTTCAACCACACAAGGATATTAGAGCTCACCTCTTTCAAATGGAAGTATGAGATTTTTGTTGGAGTTGCATTATACGCAGCCAATAAGTTTTAGTTTAAAAGTGCTGTACGTAATTGCAGTAGTATTTTTTTTTTTCGTTTTTAATTTTTTTAAAAATATAGAAACTATTTTAAATATATTTAATATTTATTTTAATTAATATGTTATGTATTTTAAAATATTAAAAAAGCATAAAAATTAAAAAGTAAATTGTTGAAAATTTTGTTAAAAGAAGCATAACGGGTAAAAGTTAAAGAATGAGAGAAATGTGGGTCCAATCAAATTCTAAAAAAAATAATAAATAAATAATTAACTAAATAATGTTAGCAATTGAAATGAAGTGTGGTCATGGCTATTATTATGATATTAAAAATCGTTAAAAGTTGTTAAATTTAATTGATATTTTTTATTT